AAGCCAATCATAATAACGTAATCAATGCTGCTAAGAAGCTGCACCATGACTTCAGAGGAGCCCTGCTTCAGTGTCACTGCCTGCATTAAAGCAGAAGTCAGATGTTCTGACTTGCCCTGAACAATGTCTGTTATCGATATTATGCTGAGTCACAGAGACTGTGCAGAAACTAAGAAAACTGCAGAGAATGCAAGTATACACAGCACTCAGCATTCTGCCCCACTGCAGAACAGACCATTCGATAACATTTCAGCCTCTAGTAGTGCAATGCTTTAGCCAGGATTAAAACCAACTGCCAAAAAAGGAACTTTATTGCCATTGATCTGAACTGTGTTTTTACATGTAAAGTACGATTATCTGACATTTAATATTAGCCTTTACAACAACATTCTCAATACAGTACTTGCTTTAAAAACCAAACTTTTTTTTTTTTTTTGCATGAGAAAAGTCTATAAAAGTGACGAACCTATTTTTCATACTGGGGATTTCAGACAGGTGATCTTTGTAGGGTGTTTACTATGAATTCTGACAAATTAGCATGTTTACTAGAGTTTCATATTGTGTGCATATACAAATAATAGAGAATCCAAATATAAGCAAGACATGTTTGCAGTATTAATCACTTATTTTATTCGTTGTTTAAACTAGTATTTACTTCCTTAGCATTTAGATTAAAAAAAAAAGTTCTTGTGAAAAAGATATGCCCCAATAGATTTCAAGTGTCAGTAGTCATAGTAAACATCCCTAATCTAACTTGAATTGGCATAAATAACTGGTTCTGAGCTACACCTTTCACAAAAGTTTTTTTTTTTTTTTTCTTCACTCTATATGCATCCGAAGAAGTGGGTTGTAGCCCACGAAAGCTTATGCTCTAATAAATTTGTTAGTCTCTAAGGTGCCACAAGTACTCCTGTTCTTTTTGCGGATACAGACTAACACGGCTGCTACTCTGAAACCTTTCACAAAAGTGGATCATGATTGTCAAGATTTATTGAGTAGTTTTTTTTCTGTACACCGATTTGTCTTGCAGCATTTATGTTCCTGTTACAATTACCAGCTAGCTATACATATGCATAACTCCATTCTTATTAACCCATCATAAACTCACGAGTCCTGATAACATTGGAGAAGACTAGCACAGCAGCTGAATGGCAGTGCCAATGCCAGAGTTTGGTTCTTAACTGGCAGGGACAATTAACTACTTCTGTGTCCAGCACAGGAAACACAATCAGCACTAAAGAGTAAAGAACTAGATATATATAGTGGTATACGGATATAATAAGATTCTAATTCATCCCGCTAAGTACAAACAATTCCTACTCCTAAGGCAAGTTAAACATCTGCTTCAGGAAAATAATCCTGAAAAACGCAATGCATGATTAAGAATGTCTTTAAGCTGCTAGCTCTGACTGGGGCATGATTAGCAAAGAGCTCTTTATGTTTTCATGCCATTTCTGTTGCTTGTGTGTTCAGAAGCATCATCCCAATGGCTAAATCGGACCTGTGCTTACAGATTTCTCTTGGCTTTATATCACCACAATTATATAGATAGCCCCATAAATGTGCATCAGAAAATGTTGTCTTTGTCAGACTAGTTGGCATAATTCAGTTTAGTTTATTTAATACTCTTGAAAACATCTATTTCAGTTTTGAGCATGTGTTAAGCACTAGTCTCCCCCACTAGTGCAATTTTGCACTAGAGGTTAATATATGTACAGCATGCCATCCAATGACCTCTCCTATGCAAGAGGCAGAATGCCCATCATTGACCTTCAAGGTAACAAACCTGGACAAAGCTGGCATTGCAAAATAGGGGTTGCTATATGTAATTTATTAAGCAGCCACACACAGACATGGAGAGTGAAAAAGAGAAACTAACCTTATATTTAGCTTGCTGGAATTTCAAACCTTCCTGCTCCGAGCCAGCTCTCTCCCTCACATTTCTATACCCAGGACTGGGTATAACATACTCTTTTCCTAGGTCGATGTCTTTCATCCTCTCCTTCCGTAAACGCCAGGGTTTACAGTTGTATTTTCACCTCAGAAAAATCTAAAGAGAATTAAAATCCCACTGTAAAACATATATCCTACGCCCTAAACAACCCTACATGATTTATAGGAAGCTTTTTAACCAAAGGTCTTGGGTAGCAATTTTGAAATCTTATTATAACATGTGACCAAACTACTCCACAGTGCCTTGTGGAGAACTGATCCAAGAGCACATGAACCGCTTGCTGAGCTAGTTAAAGGATATCCTAAAGTATCCATGAGACTAAAGTGACTCCATGCAGAAGGGCCACTATAACATCTCCCTCACTTATAATTTTCAAGTATTTCTATCCTATGTAATCTTAATTGCTAGACATCAGTCATTTGATTCTAGCAAATTAAAAAAGTTTTTCAAAAATGTTTCAATATCAAACACCTAGAGCTCTATTTTCTTGATTGCACAATTTTACATATTAGTATGCTAGTTTCAAAACCCATAGGACATACAGCGTGCATCTCTACAAATCTAGCACAAGATATTGTCAGTCTTCTCTACAGCACCCACAGACACTATGAAAAAAGCCTGTTCTTAAAGATAATTTTCTCTCCCACACAAGTACTATTCATCTTCATTACAAATGTGCACAAGCATTAAAATGTATTTACATTAGATTACATGCCTGCCTATACATTTATTTATAAAGAAATGCTTTGTGCTGCTGTGCATTTCAGACTGTTAACTCTTTCAGGTTCTAATAGCAAATTCATCCATAAAACTGCTTGCATTGAAGTCACCTTGTCCCATGGCATTACATTTTAGATCTCCATAGTTGTTGATTTAAAAAACAAGTCACTATGAAGAGGTCAGTTTAAATCATACTGCAGCCAGAAAAATGTACTGGTGCAATGGACCATAACCCTATCATATGCAGTAACATCCACCACCCTCTCTTATTAATTGCTTAAAGATCATTATCCCGGCTATTTCTGTAACATGCCCTTTGCCTCATATTTACAACTAGCCCTATTGATTTACAAGGTGGGTCAAGTAATAGCTTTTATTGGACCAACTTTAGTTGGTGAGAGAGACAGAAATTGGCTTATACAAGATATTACCTCACCCACCTTGCCTCTCTAATATCCCGGGACCCCCCCACGGCTACCAGACAACCTATTTACTTACAGAGAACCAGAATGTTTCCCACTATGCCCCTCCAGAGAGATCCACTCATGGAAGCAGGAATCCACGGGGGAAAAAAACACAGGGGCCTCCTCCTCCTTGCCCCCACCCTTGCCTGCCTTGGGATTGATTTGTCTGCGCCGGCCGGGCGAGAATGAGTCTTCATCTCGCTGCCGCCAGGCCTCGGTTTGCATCCAGAGCGTCCGCGGTACCTTGCTGGATGCTCCATCATCTCTGCGGCAGCACCCGCGGTGGGGCCAGCCGCACCCGGCACCCAATGGCTACAGTGCCAGCGCCACTAACGCGCAGACACCAGCAACCCCGCCTGCAGATCTGCAGACGGGAGCAG